ACCTTGGCGTAAAAAGTGGCATACGCAAGTTTCTGGGCTCAAATTGTGCGTACGCCAGTTTTATAAATCCGACCCCAGATGAGGACCAATCACTGCATCAGATTCCATGTTTAAGAATATTCCCTGAGTCAAGGTGAAATTGTGAAAATCCTAAGTTCACATTCAACACAGTAACATTCACACCACACCCCTCTCCACCGTTATCCACTCTACCCGAGATAAAACACCAACACCCCCCCCCACACACACACACACACACACACACACACACACTCCACCTTATTTTAGTTACTTTGTACGCTCACTGTCACTGGTACTCTAAATTTCTAAATATCGGTCAACATTTCAATGAACATTTTTTGATGCACCCCAAGATGAACGTAAGAAAACATTAATAGAATCAACACAAATCCTCTGTTTTTGCACTGTAGTCATTCCTGCCATGTTTATAAAATCAGTGTCGTGCATTAGGACAAATGGAAATGTCAAACTACCCACACACTCATAAACTAAACATTATTATTTAACCAAGAAAAGAAAACATGGAAATACTGTAGTTATGCACACATAAGTGTAAATGCTTTAATTTCCCCATGAAGGCTGTTAGACTGAAAAGAAGGTAAAGCCCACGCTAAAGGATTCAAGGGGAAAAGGTCCTTTTTGCAGTATTCCTCTTTATATACACAACAGTTACTTACCTGCCACTCGAAAAGTACAGAAGTGTTCAGTTTATCTTCCAGAGTGTTGACAAAAATGCTGCAGTAATTGTACGCATTTGCTTGTTTTGTCCAGATAAAAGTAATTGTGTCTAAGTAATTATTAAGGTAAGAAAACATATAAAAAGTTTGAGATTAAAAAAGAACTGATATTATCTCACTAACTTAAAAGTCTGAGCAAATAAATAAAGTGAATGCCAAATTTAAAAGTGTTAAGTGTTTTAAGTTAAAACACTAACAGACAAAAAACGCAGAACAAGAAACACTCGGAGAGTGCAAACCTCCGCCAAGACCAATTTCCCCCATCCTGTAAGAGTTAATGCGCAAAAGCAGAGATGGAAACACATTTGCCGATGAAGTTCTGACGTGGCGTAGATTTAAGCAGTATGCACGGAATTTCTTCTCGGTGGAGTCCAATGTGAAAAAAAATCAGACTCGTCACCCGATGTTATTCATTGTCAAACTGGTGTCGAACTAAGCTCCTAAGTTTTCATGAGTCACATTTCACCGTGTAAAACGTCTGTTTTATCCCCTTGTATGAGTTTGTAATGGTTTCACTCTCTTTATTAAGTGTTTCCTGGCTCCCCCGTCTCCAAACTTTGAGGCCCAGCAGCTCTCTGTTTACAAACCTAGTAGCGAGAAACTGTTTTGATTGGTTGTTTCGGAAATGTGGTGTGTTTGAGGAAATGGGAAAAATAGGTTTCATGGTGCAGTCACGCACTTTCTGGTCACAAAACGTTCTGTAAATGTGCATATTATGGCAAAAATTATTCATCATTAAATCTGGTTTTAACATTACTTTTATGAAGTTTGAAGTCTGTGCTGTCCAATCCAGCTCACTGTTTTTCACAGAAGCCCTGTGAAAGCATCACAGCTTTGCCGATCTCAGAGTGTTAAAAGAAAAAAATTTCCTGTATCCGCATCGTGATCCGGAACATCACCAAAATTTAAAGATGTGTTCCTTGGCCCAGTACCCACATGTGGTAAAAATGTCATGACAATCCGTCCACAAGTTTTTGAGTAATGTTGTCCACAGACAGAACGACAGAAAGACAGACAGACATACGCGACCAAAAACATTACCTCGCCCTTGGCGGAGGTAATAATAAAACACAAAGTTAGAGTTATGGTACGCTGGGAAAAACTTTTTTATGTTTCCTTTTTTTAGCATTCACTGATAAATGAAGAAAATAAGCAATGAAAATACATTTTTAATTCCATGATAAGTCAAAGGAAAAAGATGAATATAATTCAGAACAAGAAGAACAAAAACACTTGAATAAAGTGCATTTGCATCAAATAATTATCATTTAGGGCAAATTAAATATCCTATTGAATCATAGCAACTTGATTTTGTTATTTGGTCCTAAGAGCAATCAAAAGGAGTTTCTTCAGACAGAAAACAAAAACCACTAAGTAGAATTTCAATGCAGCAACTGAATACTGAATACCCCTCTGAGCACCGGTGCACAATAGAAAGTCTGTAATTACTGAAATAAATGAGGACGACTTGTGATTTCCAATTAGCCAAATTGTGAGAATCTACAGTCATCTGGTGCAAAGTTATAAAATTAACTGCAAGCTGCGTGTTTTTGTGTCAGCTGACGACTTCAAATAAGAAAAGAAATATGAGAGCAACTGGAAAATCTGACTGTATTATTTCAAAGTGGAAAAGAAAGCAGAAGGACCTGTGAGCAAAAATCAAAAACAGTTGTGACACTAATCAAGAAGTATAGAAGAAGTAATATTAATTGCGTGCTTCTTAAAAATGATGCCAAACAATGGTTACCTACACTATTTAGCTCTAAAAAAACAAAAAAGAGGAAAAAAATCTTCTGAGTCATTTTTTTAAAAAAATACATCTAAATCAGTGTGAAGGCTGCTGCTGTGTGCATCCTGGGAGAAAAGACCTGAATATACTGAGCATTCTTTATTACACTCATTTACACTAATTAGCATCACCACAAAAAACACATCTAATTTGTCTTATTAATATGTAAAAAAAAATCCATGCAGAAGGAACAGGTTTCTTTCTTCTGCTCCACTGGTGCCATTTGGGGCAACAATTCCTTTAGCTGCCTATTAGCAACAGAACTCAATCAGTAAACTAAAGAATGAGAACGACACATTAATTTTGTATGCAGCTTCAGAGTGCTTCTGTTGTCAAAAAATAAAAAAATAAAAAATGAACTAACCAAAACAGAAAAGTAGGGTAAGAATTCATGCAGAAATACAGCTACAGTTTCTGCTGGTCTCTCTCTCCATAAACACTTTCACTCTGAACATTTCAAACTCACGTAGTTATAAAGACAGGAGGGTTTGGAGAACTGGAAGGGTTATGCAGATAATTATGTGGCAGAATTATAACAAACGTGAGGAGGAAATTTGGATGAATATAAAAGGGAAAAAACTGTTTTAAAAGGAATAAACTGACGGGCCAACAAAGCACTAACAAGAGGGGTTTTGGGGGCAGAACGGCAATGGAAAAATGAGCAGAGAGAAAATAAAAAGAGCCACAAGGTAACATCTGACATTACCTTCAGTGGGGTTGATTGCTTCTGGTAAACTGTCCCAAGGGAGGGTCCAGGCAGGGCAAGGATGAGGAGTGAAGACGGCCTCGATGCCATTTTCCTGAGGGGGAGAACACACACGCGCAGAGTGAGACACATCACCGTAAAAATCCTTTTACAGAGTTTCTGTGTTGGTCCAAATGGTTATAATGAAACAACCATACAAAATATAATGGCATTCAATGACCAAGAACTGAATGTATGTGAGCTAAATACACTTATGTATTTTTTTTTGTTTACTAGCAAAACAAAATACCACAATTAATTGTAGTGTTTATATGATAATGATTAATACGATGATTAACAGATGACAATTGCACTTGCATCAGTGGCGGATCTAGGATTTTTTTGAGTAAGGGGCTATCAAGGGGTCACAAGTCTTTGTTCAACATCCTTTAACACAAATCCCCAGTTTTGGTAAGATGTACACATTTAACCATTTAAACATGTTCAAACACTTGTAATGTAATGTTTTGTTTTGTTTTTTGTAAAATAGGGTACCAGTTTACAATAAGGCTCCCCTTATAGATGGCTTTTAAAGAGTTTATAGATAGGTTATTAATTCATCTGTAAACACTTTAAAAATTATTAATAAGTGTTTATTATGCATTAATTAAGATAAAAAAGGGATACTAAACTGTCTGGTTTTTTATTTTTTATAATATTGAGCCAAATCTGTTTGGGTATTAAACATTTCAGACTAGTTTACTGTTTATTGTAAGCACAATAATGATTAGGAAATGCATATTTTAACATACAATAATGTACTGTATAAATATCCACACATATTAAAGGGATCCCAATTGTACAGTGTAAAACTGTACACTATTTTAGATTGGGTTGGATTATTTGGTAAGTTAACATGACATGTTTTTAGTTTTTTGATACATCAACATTGCTGATAGTAGTTACATGTTTGAACAATAATTTCAAATGTTATCAACATTAAGTTTTAAAAATGATTTTTCACATTACAGACTAACTTTTGGTATTTATGAATGTTTATTTGTCATTAATAAATAGTGTACTGTATTACACTTTATGATAAGTCTCCCTTTGACAGTGGTGAATATTTATATTGCAGTAATACAGTACAATATTAATAGATGTGTTTCTTATCGTTATTGTACTTACAATGTAGTAACCTAGTCTGAAATGTTTAAGTGAGAAACTATCCTTATGTCTACCCCTGGTTTACGGTACAACAATGTTCCCAAACCTTTTTTTACAACATGGACCACTTTTATACAAGACAACTTTCAGAATAACAAGGAAAAGGAACAGAGCTGCTTAATCAAGCCTTTTGATCAAAACGAGAAGCAGTAGATGTGTGTACTGTACCTTAAAATTCAAAGTTGTGAAAGAACAAGTTTTTACCACACAGACTGTGCCTTTAATCCCTGTTTCTGAAACAACACCTTCCCTTTGAGACCAATTACTTAAAATGAAATTCTCCCCTTTCCTTCACATTTTTCCCCCCAGCTGATCCCATTTATTTATTTTTTTATTTTAAAATTCCTTTCGGGATATTTCCTATTCTCCAATTTTTAAAGCTGTCGCCTGCTGTCAGATGTTTTGCGATGTTCCAGTCGGTAATCTTCATTCTGGTGCTCGGGCCATCTCTTGGTTTGCATTTGGATCACAGGTGGCGACTCCACAGCTCGCTGCGCAGGCCGTTTGACTGACATGCATTGTCATGTGTTAACTCATGTGAGAAAATGAGAAAGTGAGAAAGTTTATGAGCCATTTATACTGAGGGTAACAGGATGATGGCGCCCGGTGCCTGTGGTCAGCAACAGTGAAAGATCGATTCTTATCATGTCACACTTCTCTCTTCCTCCGTGTTTCTCGCACACACAAGGTCACGGAAGACGGGATATGTGAACACACACACACACACACTTAGCTTGATCCTATACAACAGCTGCACTGCAGGCATAATATTGGCGACATGTAGCCATCTTTATAATCCCTCTCAGCAGAAAGAGAATGTCAGCCATTGTGCTTCTGTGTGTATA